TGGCTCTAACATTCAAATAAAGTAACATGTAGACTAACCCTATAACTTTGTTCCTTTGTAAATTTTTTGGGCAGCTCTTAGCTGATGGTGATGTTTACTTCCTCCTTCGCCGCAGCCCGGTAAAAGCATGGCATGGAGGGACTGCTGCCCAAGGGTCGGTGTTGCTGGTCACCCCGCAGCTCACAAAGCCATGTGCCATCTGCTGTGCAGTGGGGTTGTGGTGTACTCTCCCTCCTGCAGGCTCTAGGCTGTCACTGTCATTGTCCAGGCTCATCTCATAAAATTCTTTGGAGAGAGGGAGGTGGGGATCTGAGTCCAGTGCCAGCCTCCCCTGCTCCTGCCTGCCCACCCCACCTGAGGGCTCTGCTAACCATCCTTGTCAGCAGCACCAAGCTCCTGGGGGGCTGGGGCCCCTGGAGTGGACTCATTAGCAGGGTGCTGGACCTCGTGGTTGATCATAAGCTGCATCACTGGCCCCTGTAGCTCCAGCAGCTTCACCTGGAGATAGGGGTGCTCAGCTGCCATGCCGGTGCCAGCACCCAAGCTCACGCCCACCCACATCCCCCTCACCCCTGTAGAGATGTTGTACACCTTACCTTCATCCCCTCCTCGGCCTCGGACAGCATGCTAACATCATTCTTCTTCTGGTGCTGGGTCTTGGCCACTGCCCTCTGACGGTCATTTGGTTTGATGGACTTTCCTGTGGGAGGACAGGCTCAGGCACTGGGGACCCTCCCAGAACCCTGCAGCTCCCCCTGCCCTGCCCTGGCCTCCTGCTCACTTATCATGTCTCTCTCTCCAGAGAGCTGGATGAGTCCGAGTTCTAGTTTTTCCACCCGCTCCTTGAGGTCTGCATTCTCCTTCACAATGTCGATGAAGTCTCTCTGGAGCCAAAATAATGGGGTCACATCTCGGCAGCGACCTGCCCCTCCCCCACCCTTCATGGCCCCTGCCAGGACTCACTCACCTGCAGCTTGTCGATGGCTTCCTGCAGGGCCCGCTGGGTCTCCCCGCACCCACACTCGCTCCCAGTCCCTGTGGCCGCGGCCGCTGCCTCTGGCTCCCTCAGGGCCGAAGCCACCGGGTGAGCGTGGTGCTGGCAGCACCCCTGTTGTTTCTGGAGCTGCTCACAGAGCTGTGCCTGCTCCTCCTGGGCACCGGCTCCAGCAGCGTTCAGAAATGGCTCCTGAAGGCAAGAGGGGAGCATTCTTGTAGGGGCATACACAGGACAGACGGGGCAGGGAGGTGGAGCGCAGCCCCTTCTCTTGGGTCCTCAGAGAGTGCACCTGTCAGTCATGAAGGTGTCTGACCACTGGCTCCCGGAAGGGGTGAGGGTCCAGAGGAATCAGAAAGCAGAGAAACCAAGAGCATAAGGGGGTCTGGGAGGACCACAGAAGAAGGTGGCCTGCCCACGCGCCTGGCCCCTGGCTCCAGCCTAAGAGACTGCCTCCCTTGCCTAGAACCCCATGCCTCCTACCCCAGCCTAAAGTCTCAGGTCCTTCCTTCCACCATTTAAACTGTAGGCCACTGACTGGTGGAAAAGCAGAGGGAGCTGACCACCATCTGCCAAGTGTGCTACATGCCTAATGCTTTCCACGCAT